GGCTTAAAAGTGTGTTTTAATAGGGTGATCTAATGTCTGATGATACTATCATCAGATGAAGGGAAACACTTTTATAGAATTTAAAATACTCCATTTGAACACACACTCCACAGTTATAAATTTGGTATCAGATAATAGAGAATCTAATAATTATGTGTCTCTATCAGGGCAGATGTAAATAATTTATAGAATCACCTACATTTCAGTTGGTGAGGTTCCAGTCGGTCTGGTTCGAGTTAGAAAGGTTCGAGTGGGTAATGATTCGTGGTAGAGAGGTGCAAATTAGCATAAGGTGACGAGGTCCACTTTATGAGGTGCGCGTTATGAGGTTGGAGTTAAAAATGTTTGATTTATGAGTTTCGAATTAGTGAAGCCTGAGTCTCTGAAGTTCGAGTTACTGACGTGTGAGTCACTGATGTTAGAATTAGTGAGAATGGAGTTACTGAATTTCAAGTTAGCGAGAATCACGAGGTCCCAGTAAATTTCACTCTCTCACCTAACTACATACTACCTTGGTAAAGAGAAAATAATGTAATTCTTCGGTAGAAATCGGCGATTTTTCATCAGTAACAACTCGTATTTTGGGTCTATGGTAACTAAATGTTTAATAAAACGTGTTCATATATAGTAAATTACTTCCTCTAACACGTTTTTGTTGTGAGTATACATGTTTTATGAGTACTTGATAAAGAAAAATCAATAGTCAGTAAAATGTCTGTCTGACTGTCTGTCTGTATGTCTGTGGAAAACAACAATTCTTCAATTATTATCAGTTTTTTTATTTTATCGAAAATAAAATAAGTTTTTTAATTGAAAAATCTTCAAATAAATCCAATTTTTTTATTCTCGAAGGTGTTCTAAGTATACCGGCTCTTTCTTGATATCCCTCTTCTTTGCAGTTTCCTAATTTTTTCTGGTGTTATATGGTCTCCTTTCGATACCAGACAAATGGAAGAAATACCCTAACAAACAGGTCATCTTTTCTTCCTCATCCTTGTTCTCTGCTCTCCGTTCATACACACATTCACTAATACTTGCACTACAGTACCACACATGTGGTCTCGTCGGGAGACAGGTCGGGAGCTTAGAGTTTTTCCCGGTTGGGGCAGATCCATGCATACCTGGAGAGGGGAAACCCCTCAAGACGACGTATAGGTCGGAGCCGGATCTCATGTTGTAGTGGGTAGGAACACCTGCTGTAACATGTACCACACTTTCGAGTCTAATTACCATTGCCGTTCACGTCACTGGAAACGCAACATAATTAATGAATCAATCAATGAAACTAGTAATAGAACATTTTGTATTAAAATGATTTTAAACTGAATTGCATTTAAACTCTGTGCTAACATATGCAATATTAAGTTATAAACATACGTTAATTGTTAACAAATTCACAAAGTAATGGACCATATTGAAACACTATGAATTTTCTTTCAATATTTTTCAATCCAATGTATTTTCAAGAGGATGGGCCATGACCCTAGAACTGGAGCTGCCCCTGCTAAGAGAAGGAAGGGTGAGTGAGAGGAGGAGTGGAAAAAAGAAAAGACGAGGAAGAAAGGACAGGAGGTCGGAGAAGGACGGGAGTAGGACGCGAGAGGGGGCAGAGAGCAGATGAGGAGCGAGGAGGGGGCGGGGGCGCACGGTAGCGGCGAACGAGGCCCGGCCGCCCGCCCGCGCTCTCCAACAGAAAGTTGGGCTGCGGGTGAACAAATCGTGGAAACACGTGTGGGTGTGGGTAAACAAACCGCGCGACGAGGCGGCGTGATCAGAGCGCGGCGCCGCGCTGCCCAA